AAAATGTGAGTTATTAAAGAGACGAGGATTGTGTGTAGCAGATACGAGATGAACAGACAGAGGTGAGAAAAACAGTGTGTCCTTGAAAAGCTGCAGTTCTGTGCATTTCCTGCAAGCATGGCTGCCACATGGAGCAGAGAAAATAGGCAAGTAAAGACAGAGCGTCTAATGACACAATAGCAGAGGACGGCACCATATGCCACCTACTCACTCTCATTACACACACTCATGCATTTGTTCATGCAGTATGAGTAAGCACTAACGAGGGGGATTTGAATCTATTTGAGTTGAATTTGTATCTAAAAAGAGTCTTATGATAGTTAGAGTAACGCAGTACCAGTGTTGGGGAGTAACTAGTTACACGTAACATCGTTACGTAATTTAATTACGAAATAAATGTAACAGTAATTCATTACAGTTAATGACAAAAATGTGTAACTACATTACAGTTACTTATGAAAATGTTAAAGATTACAAATGGGGTTACATCTAAAAAAATATTCTTTAAAAATCTGGGATATGCTGATTAATATTAATCTGTTGCTTTGCCTGTTTTTGATATGCACGATGCTTTCTGCTAAGGCGATTTATTAAAGTGGTGCTACTCTACCATAACTACACTGAGTAATGTGGCGGTAGCATCGCTACTTTATAAATCAAATTGCTTTTCAGTAGCGCAGCTATTTTTTTAGTCAAGTAGCGTGGTAGTGTCCACACAAGCTACATTTACCTATCGCAGATCAATAAGTGATGGAACTGGCATTCACGGAGCTGTGAGGCCAGTGTCTAGCGCAGAGGTTCTCAAAGTGGGGGTCGGGACCCCCCGAGGGGTCGCGGGACAATGAAGGGGGGGGTCGCCTGGTGATTTTCAAAAATCAATTAATTTTTATTAAACCTCAAAACTTACTGTATTTTATCAATAACCTACTGATGAGAAAAAATAGTTGTTTATAGTTACTATAAACTATATAGTTACTATAGTAGCTTATAGTTACTAATTCTATTGGATTGCGACTTCTCGGGTAATTACATTATACTAAAGACACAGCAATACTGTCAGATGCAGCAGATTTTGTAACACCAGGTTAAACTTTCTAGCCCATTTACAGCACTGACATACATAAAAAAAACAAAGAATAGACTTGGGTCTATTGGTGTGTGTGTGCGTCATTGCATACAAGGTTTCTGTATTTATAACCACCACCTCAGAGAATATTGGGGGTCACGAATCACTGGCATTCTCATTTTAGGGGTCGCGGGCTGAAAAGTTTGGGAACCCCTGGTCTAGCGGATGAAAATAAAGCCATAGGACGGGGTTGTTGCTAAATCTGATATGGATGCGGGCGGAAGTTAAGGAGAATTATTTATATTATTTATTAAATTTTCTATTTATTGTATTTTATTAATGTCTACCCCACCTCAACTCGAAACCCAACCATCACAGTAATGTAAAAACAGTAGTTGTCCTGAGTATTATTTATGTTATCTTTTAAATTACTGAATAAATGATATTTTTTATTTAACGCCTACCCCCACCGTCACAGCATTGCAAAAATATGAATTATTGTTATACAGTGTCTTAAAAAACGCTGCTATATTAATGTGCATATCAAATCTGAGTATCCGATCTAGACTTTACAATATGACGGCGAAAATGACGATTTCTTCTTCAAACTTTTTGGTGCCTTACTGCCACCTCTTGCTCTGGTAAGTGATGTCTCTAACCAAGGCTAACACAAAAGATATTTGCTTGATGGAAAGATGACTAAGGGAGAAGAGGAGTATATATTTATAGTTGAAGTCAGAATTATTAGCCCCCTTTTGAAATTTTTTTTTTTACTTTTTTAAATATTTCCCAAATGAAGTTTAATAGAGCAATGGAATTTTTTTTAAGTAAGTCTGATAATATTTTTTCTTCTGGAGAAAGACTTATTCGTTTTATTTTGGCTAGAATAAAAGCAGTTATTAATTTTTAGCTTTAAGGACAAAATTATTAGCCCCTTTAAGCAAATTCTTTTTCTGACAGCCTACAGAACAAACCATCATTATACAATAACTTGCCTAATTACTGTAACCTGCCCAGTTAACCTAATTAACCCAATTAAGCCTTTAAAAGTCACTTTAAGCTGTATAGAAGCGTCTTGAAAAATATCTAGTAAAATATTATTAACTGTCATCATGACAAATATAAAACAAATCAGTTATTAGAAATTAATTATTAAAACTATTATGATTATAAATGTGTTGAAAATATCTCTCTCTTAAACAGAAATTGGGGAAAAAATAAACAGGTGGTCTAATAATTTTGACATATATATATATATATATATAGGGCTAAAGTATACTAAGGTAATTACTAATGTTATTTTTGAGAATGTACTAATGTTACAAAGGAAACATCTGCAGGTCAAGTAGTATGTTTGTTTACTGTTGCTGGAATTTGATGCATCACCAGATTCTAGAGATCTTGTCAGCAAAATCTTTGTCAAAGCCGGCAACGATGAGATAATCAATACACTACCTGACCAAAGTCTTGTCGTCTATCCAAGTTTTAAAAATAACAAATAATAACTTCACTTCTAGTTAATCATTTGGTATCAGAAGTGGTTTATATGAAATGCAAAGGCCTCTAGATTATGCCCTCTTTACTAAAATAAAATATGATCAAAAATACAAAAATATTAAAAAATATGATCATGCCAAAAATATGATCAAATTGTTTAAATTATTTAATTTGCTTAGACAAAGTCTTGACTTCTAGTTATTTATTTGGAAAAGTGGCAGAAGATATCATCTGTTGAACTGCATCGAAAATCATCACAAATACTGCAGAAGACCTACTGGAACCAGCAGAGTGGATGGAAACATCAGCAGCATGAGATATCAAGACATTTGTGCTGCCCATTAGATTACCAACCACAGGAGGGGGCAAATTCTCCAGCAGGATAGCGCTCCTTCTCATACTTCAACCTCCACATCAAAGTTTCTGAGGCAAAGAGGGTCAAGGTGCTGTAGGATTGGCCAGCCCAGTCACCAGCTCTCAACATTATTGAGTATGCCTGGAGTAAGATGAAGGAGGAGGCATTGAAGGTGAATCCAAAGAATCTTGATGAACTCTGGGACTTCTTTGCCAATTCAGATGACTTTATTAATAAGTAATTTGAGTCACTGCAGAGATGTATGGATGCAGTCTTCCAAGCTCACAGGAGTCAGACACAATGTTCATTATTTTTTACTGCAGCATGGCTTTATATTCTGTACTGGACTTTATTTCTGTTAGGTTACAAGTCTTTTGTCTAACCAAAGTCAGACCTTACTGTCCTATTTAAATAATTCATATATTTTTAGATTATATTTTATTTTGGTAAAACAAGTGTAATCTGGGGACATCACAGTGGCGCAGTGGGTAGCACGATGCTAAGGGGCCTGTTTCGAGCCTCGGCTGGGTCAGTTGGCATTTTTGTGTGGAGTTTGCATGTTCTCCCTGTGTTCGCGGGCTAGACCAAATCTGTGATTTTTTTGTATGATTTCTGTGCGGATTTTTGTCAAAATATAATAAAAAACAAAAAACAGCATTTATGAAAAGGTTTTTGACAGCATAGGAGCTGAAAACCTAACACACATAAAAAAATGACAATAACTAATATTTAATGTATTACACTTTGGAAGTAAATTGCCCAAAATCTCACATAACTTATATGAGGGACTGCTATATGACCATCTGGTTTGGTAAAAGACAACCAATCAGCTGTGAGCCCGTCGGCCAATAGAAGCCTCAGTGTGTAGTATAATTCATTACATGTAGGGTTGTAACAATATACCGGTATGACGGTTTACCACGATTTGAACGTGCATGATTATCATACCATGAACAATTGCATATCAACGGTTTTAACCCTTAAAGACCGAGACAGCCGCCCGCGGCTAAAAATAAGTATTGCTCTTAAATGTTTAATAACTTTTGATCCGCTGATCCGATTCATACAATTCAAAGATTGGCATAAAGAAGAGAATCTCAGCTTTCCAGTGCTGTATCACATAACATTCGCGGACTTTCAGAGGCTCCGAAATCAGTGCGGTTACGTCATCAACATTTGACAACGCTGATTTGACAAAGAAACGCTCGTCATTGCGTCTCCGGACAAATCAGACATGATACATTGATGCATTGTCCCTCCTCCATACCCAGATTGGTTCAAACTCGCTATATCACAACCAATAAGCATAGGTTTCGCTTTTGTTTGTGGACCAAGCTTTTTGAACAACACGGAATGAGAGATAGGCATACATTTATGCGCGGCTAAATAAAACGCAAAAAAAAAAGTTTTGCATGAAATAATTCTCATACTAAGTACTTTTGCATGCACAGCAGCACAGAAACATGACAAAACAGTGACACAGCAAAGACGAACTGCTGCTCTTGCTGTTTTCAAAAGACGCAAATGAAGGTGCAGCTGTTTGTCTGCATTGCAGACAACCACATCCAAATCCATATCCACAGACAACCATATCCATGCTGGCACATAAAACCTAAGGATGTTCCATATTGAATCTAGTTTCGTCATGTAACTATTTATAGTATAGTAAATATTTATATCTATTTTTACTGAGGATTTGCACCATGTTTATTTGGACTTTATTTGGACTTTGACACATTATTTATTATTTTCTTATTTTTTTATTTGTTCATTGTAAGTGGTGTTGTTTATAGTAACTAAAAATATATTATTTGGAAAAAGTCAAATTTGCTTTACTGTTCTATTATTTTGTAACATTTGTAACATACCGTATACCGCGAAACCGTCAAACCGTGGTATTGTTTTAGACGATTATCATACCGTGAAAAATTCATACCGTTACAACCCTAATTACATGTAACTTACTGTATTATCAGGGCCAGACAGAATCTGTGAACTTTTTTGTGATGTCAGTGCAGAATGTTGTAAAAACATCTGGCTTGGTAGAAGACAGCCAATCAGCTGTGAGAAGAGCCCGCTCACCTTTAGAAGCCTCGGTACCGTACGGGTTCCCCGGGGGGTAAGTCAAATCAGGCAGCCACGCGTCTTTGACAGCGGATTTGAAGACCTCTCGGTTGTCCAGACTCTGGAGTGGCCGGAAGTTGTTACGTAGGTATTCCACAGATTTAACATGATCCTGCTGCTCCGTGGTGAAGATGGAGTAGAACGCCTCCAGCTGAGAAAAAGAGAGAGAGAGAGAGAGAATTTAGTATGTTTTCACATCCATCTCTTATTTTTCAGTAAGTCATCCCTCAAGATGTCTTTTTTTTTCACTCCTTCCAAACTGGCGACTCGGAGGAATGTTATTTCAGCTCACGGACTGATCAAAGACCAAAAACATGACCGACTGTCTGTCTTATTTTCGCCTCTGCCATGCCTCACTAACCTCCTGCATCGTTCCCGCTCTCGCTTTCATAAAACACTGAATGCTCAGAAAGCCAAAAGCCAAAAACTAAATCCGAAGAAATCTGGAGTCATTTGATGGGGCACTTGAACTAAAGCACGCTGTAAGAGGAGCCACAGGTTGTGTTTGTGTGTGGGGAATGTGTTTCTACTATTGAGAAACAGCACTTTGGAGACTGTTGGAGGATAAAGGTGGGTTTGATTTAGCCAAGTATGATGTGATACTGGATTAACGTCAACTGTATGTTGATCATGGAACATCATTCCTGGTTAAAAATATAATCCATAACCCTAAACCTAAAAGTCAAATTATTCCCCAAATCAGAGAGGATTAATAGTTGGATAAGAATGATATATAACTATCTGGCACATAACACTAACTGGGCCAGACAGAATCTGCAGACATTTTGTGTTATTTATGCACAGAATTTTGTAAAAAAAATTAGCAGATTTATGTGGAATGTTTTTGAAGTATCATAACTAGTGTGTGTATATATATATATATATATATATATATATATATATATATATATATATATATATATATATATATAAAATATTATTTATTATTATATTATATTATTATATATATGTTTATATGTGTGTGTGTGTGTGTGTGTGTGTGTATATGTTTATATGTTTATATGTATATATATATATATATATATATATATATATATATATATATATATATATATATTTTTTTTATATTATTATTAATATTATTATTATTTTTATTTTTTTACTTTTTTTAATGTTTGTAAATCCAATTACATCCACTTGTTTGGCAAACAAAGCAAGTCTCTCATATTAAAGTTGGGCCAATAGATGATGCCATTGTCCATCACCGATGGCCAATAAACAACACAATGCTGAACCCGTTGCAAACTTGGTCGAAAAATACACACTCAGGCCCCGTTTACACTAATACGTCTTAATATTAAAATGGCATTTTAGAACGAAAATGATCCACATCCACACCGTGTTTTACATAGCATTTCTGAACAGCCCTCCGTCCACTGAAAACGCACATCACGTGACCACACACACACACACAGTCACACACACTGTCATGCCCTTGCCTGAGCTCCAGTGTGCAGTGCACGTCGGACAGTTTATCAAGGATGTACTGCTGGATCGCGTCTCATTATAGTTGTTAAACGTGATATTCAGACATCCCAAGTCTCCCGGAAAATCTGGGAGTCTCTATGCATTTGCGATAGACTACCGGAATTTCCCAGGAATGCCTGTAAACAAGTGATAATCTCCCGGAAATCATGCGTCTGCCTCCCAGTCCTCAAATAGGTCGCGCACCCTTCTCATCCCTCATCACCCGATCCCTCCTCGCTCTTTAGACACGTCGCACGCACTCTGTCAAACAGTCTCGTCTTGGTTTTGGAGACGTATGCGTCACCATATGGGACATAAGAATAGGACGTGTGTTTGGATATAACTCATTTTTTTGACCACACTTTATTATTACTTGTTTGCTGGAAATTAGAACTTAATTTATAAATACTTTAGAAACAATCCGGTCGGCGGATTGGGGAAGTCCCAGAGTAAAATGAGAAAATATGATACACTGGTGTTTTGGAATATGGAAAAACTGTATCTAAAAGGGCAGCTAAAAGATTTGACTTGGGACATCACCATACTGGCGGATCTGTCACTATGGGACAGCAGAGTAATTACAATAAGTGAGACCCGAGGCACGACTCGCCACAGATAACTCTTGTAGGGGGTTAAAGTCCCTGGCGTTTGGCTGAGATCAAGACCATTTATTACATTTGGCTAGCCAAAGCGATCTACTCCCGGGAGGGGGTTAAAATCAGGGTCCGTGCAATTTACTTTTAAAAGGAAGTTGAAATTGGAGGGCACGTAATTAGAGCTGTAAAACTTAACTTTTAAATTTAGGTGAAAAAAATCGAATATGAGTGGCGCAGTAGGTAATGCTGTGCCCTCACAGCAAGAAGGTCGCTGGTTCGAGCTTTGGCTCAGTTGGCGTTTCTGTGTGGAGTTTGCATGTTCTCCCTGCATCACGTGGGTTTCACCTGGTGCTCTGGTTTCCCCCACTGTCCAAAGACATGCGGTACAGGTGAATTTGGCAGGCTAAATTGTCTGTAGTGTATGAGTGTGTGTGTGTGGGTTGCGGCTGGATGGGCATCCGCTGCGTAAAAACTTGCTGGATAAGTTGGCGGTTCATTCCGCTGTGGTGACCCCGGATTAATAAAAGGACTAAGCCGACAAGAGAATGAATGAATGAATGAAAATCGAATCTGTTGGTGACATCTAATAGATTAAAAGGTACCAAAAAAGTCCAGAGAGGGGGCTGATCACCAGAATGGGAAAGTCCCAGAGCAAAGTGAGAAAATATGATACATCTGTGTTGTTTTTATATTATTTGTTTCTATTTTATTTATACTTGTCTCTTTCAATCCTGTTTATGTAAAGCACTTTGAATAGCCACTGTGTATGAAATGTGCTATATAAATAAACCTGCCTTGCCTTGCTCTCATGGCTTTCAGCCCCACCCCCTCACTACACAAACCATCAAGTGCGCTATATAATTCTTCATTCCTAAATGCTTTACCACACAAGTCTGATTCGTGACGTCACTTCCACACAGAGACTCGCTGTGCGACAATATGTTGCTCTCGAATTATCTCCTAATCACAATCCTCATCTATTAATCCCTCATATGCCGAAACCTCGCTTCTAAACAGCTTATCAGGATTGGGCACCGGCTACAAAAGCACGTCTTACATTGTGTACGATTCTTAGTGCGGTAGTAATCCAGGACAGATTTGTTGCGTGTTTATGAAATGACTGCGCATCATGGGTATGAAGGTTAAGTAATCCCTTGTGGGAAATCACAGCAACAGGGCTGTTCTGGGTCACACATCTGTCTGTGTCTGTCTGCGTGTGTGTGTCACTGCTCAAAAGACATGCTGGAGTCTGATGGTTGAGTAATCCCTTATGGCAAATGCCATAGCAACAGGGCATTCTTGGGGCAAACAGCGAGGTGTGTGTGTGTGATGTCCACCTCTGCTCCAGATGTTGCAAATGCAGTAGACTGACTGAGCATCGATCGGCTCTTAAAGCGCCCCAGAGCTCCGTCTGTCAGTCTCCGTGACCTACTTCCTGCTTTGATGAAGAACAAAGGAGCAAGAAACATGGGGAGTGAAGGACAACTGTCTTCCTCCATAGACTCACTTATATCTGCCTCGGCTGTGTTTCCTTTTAAACAAAATCACCTAGAGACCAAAGGGAACAAAGGAACTTTAAGAGGTGTCAAATGAGAGCAGAAAGCTTCTGCGGGCAGCGTTTTACGGCTCTGAAGAAGGGACTGTGTCTTCCTGTTTAAAGCTCGGTGAGCCGTGACCTATACAAATATCACTTCCTGCAGTTTGATCTGACGGGCTTGAAACATTTGGATACAGATGGTGGTGACTCATCTGACAAAACTCTGGGCTATTACTAGACAGATTTACTGTGATAAGCTGAAAAAAGTCATGTAAATGTCCCAGTAACATGTCATAAATGGTTTCAACTTTAAGATTTTTTTACCTATTAAAGTGAGTCATGATTTACTCACCCTGGCATTGTTGTTACATAAAATATGATTTAAAAAAAAAAAAAAAAGTTGAGGTCAGAAATATTAGCCCCCCTTTGATTTTATTTTCTTTTTTAAGTATTTCCCAAATGATGTTTAACAGAGCAAGGCAAGGTAAGTTTATTTATATAGCACATTTTATACACTGTGGCAATGCAAAGTGCTTTAAATAAACAAGAATAAAAATAGACAAGTATAAGAATAATAGAAAAAATATTAAAAATGATTAAAAACAGATGAAAATGAGTTAAAATAGGTTATTCAAAAATGAAAAAGGAAACAAAGACATAATAGTGCGATCTGTTGGACGCAGCACAGTGCTCATTCAGTAAAGGCACAGCTAAACAGATGTGTTTTCAGTCTTGATTTGAACGTGCCTAATGTTGGAGCACATCTGATCATTTCTGTAAGCTGATTCCAGCAGCAGGGGGCGCTGTTAGTAGTTGAAGGCAGATTCACCCTTCTTTGACTGAACTTTCGGAATTTCTAGTTTATTTGGTCCTAATCATCTGAGTGATCTGTTAGGTTTGTATTCAGTGAGGATATCTGTAATGTATTGAGGTCCTAGGCAATTTAGTGATTTATAGACAAGTAGTAATACTTTAAAATCTATTCTGAAGGTAACAGGGAGCCAGTGGAAAGACCTGAGGACAGGTGTGATGTGCTCTGATTTCCTGGTTCTGGTCAAAATTTCTGGCTGCAGCATTCTGGATGAGCTGCAACTGTCTGACTGTCTTTTTGGGAAGGCCAGTGAGGAGGCCGTTACAGTAATCCACCCTGCTGCTGATAAAAGCATGAACATTCTCTAAGTCCCCACTGGAAACAAAGCATCTAACCCTTGCAATGTTTCCGAGATGGTAGTATGCCGATTTACTAACTGCCTTGACTATTGAAACTCAGATCTGACTCCAGAGTCACACCAAGATTCTTGACCTTATTTTATGTTGCTTGACCTTTAGAGCCATGGTACGCATTCACCTTGAGAACCTCATCTCTGCTCCCAAAAGCAATCACTTTAGTTTTCTCTTTGTTTAACTGAAGAAAGTTTTGATACACCCAACTGTTCATTTCATCAATGCACTGGCAGAGGGTGTCGATGGGGCTTTAGTCATTAGGCAGTAAGGCTAAGTAGATCTGAGTGTCATAAGCATAGCTGTGGT